AGTGTATATACATATCCCTTCACCTTAGGCCCCTTAGAACCCATCATAGTGGAGTTCTGCCGGCGGTACGAGGTGACCTTAGGTCAGATCCACCCCTCGATGTGGCGGATCGTATATCTCTTTCGGGTTTTTATCGAGAGAGTCGAGGGCGATTTTCCCTTTACCCTCGACCATCTTCTTCGATTGTACAGCCCTCGAATAGTTTCGAGGGGGATTAAGTAAAACTGGCCCGCCGGGCTAGCAAACCCCCATTCTCCAGCATCGATGAAGACAAAGATCGAGGCTGGATGAGCAGGTTTGTCCGGATCAGGACGTCCGACCTGATTCCGGCTGATTGCATGCCATTTCCGGAGAGGTGGAACCTCAAACGTAAGTATTTTCTCACTGTTCACCTTTTAGAGTGTGTTTTCCTCAACTTCTCCCTTTTCTTGTGCAGCGGTGACCCAAACTCCAGCTGCCATCAAGGATCTGGCCGGCTGGGTAAACAAGATAGTGGCCCAGCGGCCATATTCGGAGCGAAACTGGAAGGAAATCTCCAAAGGTCGGTGGGAGGCGAAAAACCATGGTAAGCCTTCTTTTTGACCGGTAGCGCACCAAGTTAACGCATTTTTTCTTGTATATCGGGAATGCATCATAACCCTCGTGTTTTGCAGGCATGCCCAAGGACGCGGAGATGAGGTCTTCAATACTATGCCCCCTTCCGGTTCCGGGAGAAAATAAAAGGCCCGGGGAGTCCGGTACGGACGAGCCCCAAAGGAAGATTAAGCGGACAAAAAGGGCCGCCCGCAAACTAAAAAGCCAAATCGTCTTGTCCTCCGAGGAGGAGGACGACAAAGAGGATGACGATGAGGAGCAGCCGGAGCTCGTCCGCCATCGATCCATTCGACCGGACCCTGAGCCGGTGGTCGATCCAGCTGAGGCTCCTCCCGAGGACGTGAGGGTTGAGGATGCTAGTGAACCCTCGGCCCCTGCGCCGGCGTCCCCGGGTACCGGTCACCCGGTTACGTCCCCCCCGTCTTCCTCGACTTGGGGGCAGCTGCCGGACGACATCCCGATGATGGGAGGTAGCTTCGAGACCTTTTTTGATGGGGTACCCTCCGCCAACACTTTCGGGCTCGAAACTCCCCCGGAAAGACCCTCAGGCCGAATACGAAGGTCGGGACGTTCCGGCCGTCGACAAGCTTGTCGATAGGTTTCCAGCTCCGAGCCTGGACCCGGACTGTAACAGGATAGTAACTTTTGCTATCCCCAAAGACGTCCGGGCTCTGGGGCCCCCGGTCGGGGTCGCAAGCTATCTTCATCACCTGATGACGGAGGAAGACCGGGCTGCAACCGAGGCTGTAGATTGGACATGCCTTTTCAACGAAGCCCAACAGGCGCAGCTCAAGGTACTTGCTTCTTCCTTTATTTCTAACATTTTTGCCTTGTGATTCAGTACTGACTCTTTAGACTTTTTCTTTGCAGGCATCGGTGCTATATCACTCGATGTTCCTCCGGATCAAGGACAAAATGGAGACGGAGCGAGAGGGGCACCGGGTCCTTGAAGAAAAGCTGCTAGAAAGTCGGACCGGATTGGACCTTTTGAACAAAGAGCACGCGTCCTGTGCTATCCGGCTGGAGGAAGCGAAGAAAGAGCTTGGTTATAAGCTAAGGGGGGTGCAAGCCGAGCTTAATCGGGTTAAGGCCGAGCTTGACGAGAGCAGAGCCGAACTTGATGAGAACAAAGCCGAACTGGAAGCTCGGGTGCAACAGTTGGAGTCGGAGAAGACTTCCCTTCGGAAAGAGGTTGCGGACTTGACGTTGGCCAATGAGGCTCGCGTCCTTGAAATTGAGCTATGGACCAATCGATTTCAGGAAGCTGAGGCTAAAGTTTCCCAAGCCAAGGAGACTGCCAACGATCTGGTGGCCCAATATAGGGCCGATGCTGATGCGGCCAACCAGCAGTCAAGAATGTTAGCCGAATATGCGAAGTGTCAGGCCCGGCTTGAAGTTCTTACCGAACTCCAACGTCGCGGTTTCGATCTTGCATCGGACGTCACCAAAGCCGCCGAAGCTGAGGACGCTTCGAGAAGGGCGACGTTCCCCGAAGAATTCGAGGATGGCTCTGATTGACTCCGGGAATAGGCTAGGCTTTGTTTTGTTTTCCCCTCTTATGTAATTGCTCCGGTAGCGAGCTTTTTATGAAACATTGCCCTCTGCCATCTATTGCTCCTTTTTCAATCTTGTTATTACTTTGCCTTTTATCTTTTTGGAACGATGGTAGTCCTTTATGTTTTTCGAAGTAGTCTCCGAGTGAATGTATTCGAACTCAGGTGAACTTCGACCTTTGGGTTTTCTCAAGGCAGTCCCCGAGTGAGTTGATTCGAGCTCGGGTGAAGTCCAACCCTTAGGTTTCTTCGAAGCAGTCCCCGAGTGAGTGGGTTCGAACTCGGGCACAATTTGACCTTCAGGTTTTGTATCGATTTTACGCCTTTTTCTTAAGGTCTTACAAATTCGAGTATACTTCGCCATTTAGTGAAGTCGATGATGAGGTCCGGTATTTTGTAGATTTTATGAATTTGGACCCGCCTTCTCGAGGACTTACGGTTAAAATAATGCCTTATCGAGGCCTTACGAATTTCGAACTTACCTTTGAGGTCTT